CCCACTGAGAGAAATCAAAAGACAGAGTCGAGGAGATCGGAAGAGTGTATTTGGCGATTACCAATATATCAGAATTCTCTGATCTAATCTGGCTAGCGATTGCGGTAGATGTTGAGCACAGCGTTACCACATGTGATCTGGTACGGATGCATGACCGAGCGCCGTCAGCTAGGTGAGTCCACTGAAACCAATGATCAGCATCCAATGTCGAAAACTTTCAGAGGTATTTATTTTGGAGATTTATTTACCGTCACATCATCACTTTATGTAATATGGCTGCAGAACAACTTAGATCAATTGGACGTTTGCATTTGGACAGTCCTGAATAAGATAGTCTGAAAGGTTTGAAGATATCCGTATTTAAGTCAACGTTCGACAACACCTCAGAACCATAAGGTCGATTTAGAATATCTTCAGGCCCTGCCGTCCTGCATATTGGTTTCAGCGAACGGAAGTTCAGTGTTAGCCTATAGTCACCACATATTCTTGGGGTCTTGCCGTCCGATTTCAGTGGTGTAACAATAGGGGTGCTCCATGCTAAGGATTGAATCGGTCAAATTATATCATTCGCATGCAAGCCGTTCAATATCTTATGTACTACATCCTGAAGACCAAAAGTAATTATTCGTGCTTTAAGAAATACTGGATCACCATGTACTTGAAGCTTCATAGGCTGAATTTTCATACCTCCACCGCACTTAGCACACGCAGATAATAAGTCTTTAAGTAAAGTGTCGTAATTTTCTTTAGGAATTAATTAGGACACCTCCACTTGCATTCCCCTTTTTCAGAATATCACAAGCACAGCAAATAAAAACTAACGAACTATCATACCTAGGTTTAAACTACAACATACAAATCCCAAATAGAATTTTTAAAAATATTATCTGTCTAGCCAAATGTGTGTTCTGTCAATTATATTATGGCTGAAGTTTTATTAAACCATGGAGCACGATGTTATGCGACCATAGTTTATCAAATGAAGAATTCCGTCAGTTTAATGCATAAAAAACACGTTAAAGATTGATTTAAATAAGATTTTAATTTCATGTCTTGAAGTTCATAGTATTCGCTTAGTTGTTGCACTTCCATAGCTGTGCCACTCTATACTTGCTTGGAGAGAGCATGTGTTCTTTAGATTTACCAGGCTATAAATTGTGAATACAAAAATTTCTAAGTCACTTTTGTGTATCGTCAAGGCATTTTTAGAAAGTTTTGAAGTTATATTTTGTCTACGTAATCTTACGCAACTTATGTACTAAATAAAATAATCCATCAATGATGCGATTCAAAATTTACTTAAGACATAAATTCTTGATTCAGTCAAAGCCAGGACTATTGAGCAAATTATATTGTTCTCAGACAAATAACTATCCTGAATAACTTCACAACCTAATGGCCATAAATGATTAGATTTGTTAATTTCCCCTTTTAGTTATCTCCACTACTAGGTAGGACCGCACCAGTGTAGTGTATAACTAAGACATTGAAGAGCATTTGAGAAAATACTACCTTGATTACGTCTTGAAACTCATACGTTGCAATCATCAGTTTGCCGTTTTTAGAAACATTCACTAATTTATTGATTGTCATAGGTTTGAATAAGTCGAATACGGTAGTTAGTATAACGTCAGAATGTCTACTATAAACAAAAGCAAACAGCAAATAACCTCAATATTTTAAAAACGGAACATTCGAGGAAAACTTGAAATTGTGAGGTTATTGAGTGGTGGTTTTGGGAAAACTGTCAAATGGTGAGGAAAATACCACGTATTTCTCGTTTACTTTTCTTAAAAAATTTCCGAGATCTTTCTAGAAACTTTACAGGATTCTCCAAAAGCAGAGTTGATTATGAGGTCAAACTTTGAGGCCAGTGTAAATCCTGAATCTTACTTGACAAATGACAACCAGAAAAAAGTCTGAAACATTTGAACTCTGCCACGAGAGTTGAAGGGCTTTCAGTGAAAAAAAGCATGACGCCTCAAAAAGAAAGCCAAGATTCTTCGGAAGCCACGAAGTCAATGCTCCTTCTAACAAACTGAACAATAATTAATATGAGTACATGGAATGTATAGACAATCTGGTTGCGAACAAGAAAATGTTTCACTTAAACAGGCAATCGCAATGATGCATTTCAACAAAATACGAAGAGCACTTATAAGATGAGGATCTTACTGATGCATGATCAAATCAACAATCGAAATAAAGAGGTTAAGATGAAAATTGCCCAGTGCTGTGCGTTCATCAGTCATAGCAATGGAGATGATAATGATCAGTTTAATGAGAGGTTAGATGCGATCGTAAAGAAGTGCGCAAGAAAAGACCTGACCATCCTGACGGAAGACCTGAACATCAAAGTCAGAATGGACAACACCGGATATGAAGATATCAACGGACAACATGGACTGACTGGGAGAAATGAATAATAGCGTTGTTCGATTTACGAATTTATGTGCTTTCGATAAAATGTTTATAGGTGGCACAATATTACACCATAAATACATACACAAGGCTAATTGGAATCACACTACAGAGAATCAGATCGACCATTTTTGTATAACTAAATATTCAGGTCAATGGGAGTTGTGAGAGCAAAGAAAGGAACGTACATAGACTCAGAGCGCCACCATATAGTGTCCGAGATGAAACTAAAGCTAAAGAGGCATTGGACAACTGTACAAACAGAATTAAAAGGTCTGATACTGCCTTTCTTCAACATACTGACAAACTCAACGAATTCAAGATAACTTTGAACAACAGCTTTTAAGTCTTACAAGATCCACTTAAAAAAGAGGAAACTACTATGGAGAATAACTGGAAAGCGATCAAAGAGGTACTAACTAACACTAACATGTCAGAATTTTCCAAGCAGCAAAGAAGCATCAACATAAAGAATGGATCTCTATCGAAACCCTGAACAACATTTGGAAAAGAAAGAACAAGACAGCAGTTAAGATCAGCCGAACAAGAACGGAGGAAATCAAGGCACAAGCTAAATACACAGAAGCAAACAAACAAGTCAAGAAGAGTATTAGAACTGACAAGCAGAAATACGTGGAAACCTGGCAAGGACGGCGGAAAGAGCTGCAAGAGAAATATATTTTTAATAGAGATCATGAACCGATTGACATTAAACCAACACTGAACGGCCGTTTCGTCCTTTTTTGGGACTCCTCAGCAGTGCGCACCCACAACCCCAGCCGGCATCCAAAGGTGTTAATATGGGTAATCAACCAATTCAGAAAATTGTGCGACCATCTCTTAATTTAGGGACCTGTCTCTAGCCGACACTTTAAGGAACTTTTGAATAGACCAGCTCTATTGAATCCACCGGACATCGAAGCGGTACACAAACACAACTCCCTGAAGAAGACACTCCACCAACGATCAAAGAAATCAAAATGGCCTCCAGAAAAATCTATAGTCGGACCTGACAACATACCAGCCGAAGTCAGACAGAATTAACCGCAAACACGCCCCACACTCTATTCAGTAAGGTTTGGAAGAGGAAATGCCAACGGACTGGAAAGGACACTTCATCAAGAAACCAACGAACGGAAATCGAGGCAAATACGGGGACTGTCGAGACATCATGGAACTGTAAGTACAAGGAGACGTTTCCAACATTGTTTAACGGCTCAATGGTCTATAGGTTAAGTGTTCGCGCGCGAGACCGATAGGTTGTGGGTTTAACTGGATGAAAAATTTAGTAGACACCCAGCCCCAGGACCAAAAGGTTGGATTCTGTAAGAATCAGTCATGCACAGACCAAATCGCGACACGACAATACGTTACTGAGCAATCAGTCGAATGGAATTCGTCAAAATATACCAACTTCCTCGGTTATGAGAAAGATTGCATCAACTAATGACACAAACTCATCCCAGTAAATGAAATTATAAATAAGTCACAAAATTCCCTAGTAAACACACCTTTAGTGAATCAACGATTAAACATGTTCATTTGCTACACTGACAGTTAGCTGATACTTTTAGGTGTTGCATAGAGACAGAACTCAATCTCTAGCTTTCAGACACTCTCACTAGACGATTTTCCATAGTTCTTTTGTCGAAATTTGACACTCGAATAACAGACATCTTCGGTTTCGGCCGACTGACAAGGTCATTTGTTACTTCGTTTAATTTATATTACAAAGTAGCAAATCTTCATGTCAGAAAATAATCTAGAATGTGCAATCTTACACAGAACTGTCATAATTTGTGACAAGCAACATACCATTAAACTGTGGAGTTCGGAATTAATAATTATCAGTGAATTTCTATTACATCGCTGTGTGCTTTAATATGACAATGGTACAACTAAGAACTATCCACCTTGTTTTAAATCACGGACATCTCACTTGAACCTTTTCTCAATAATTGGTCCTTTATATCTAAATCTGTCCATCTCTACTGAGTTTCGTGTTATTGTGATGTGTGACTAAACAATATTGTAGAACAACTAGAGATTTAAGAAAAAAGGGCATTGGATGGAAAAGCAAATGCAGCTGTAGGAGCATGATTTCTCAAAAATACAGTTAAAATTTACACATCATAGCGTTTAAATACATGTATGAATCAGATAGTCATACAAGATATCACTGCTGCCAATGGAAACAATTACGATGAATGTGAACATATATAATCAGAGATGGAATCGAAATTACTAGTCAGTTAAAATTGGTGAATAAAGAACAATGATTTATAACCTAGTAAATAAATAATACTGTTTATTATAAAACCTAAATGTCCTAACGTACAAACCCATGAAGTCAGAAATATGTTCTGTTAAAACCCAATACGAAAACAAAACAAATATCGAGTACTGCTTGATATTCCATGAACCTCTAACTGTTAATTTTATGAATAAAATGATCTAATGAACATTAGGCCGCAAAATAGACTGACTAATAACTTAAATTATTTTTTTTTCCAGGACAGAAAATTTTGATGTAAGTTTCCGGATTCATCCTCTGCTGTGGTATAACTATAAAACAATTCGCCAACAGATAATAAATTTGATTACACATACACAATGAATTTTAAACAGTATATGAGTAAATTTGACACGAGAAAAGAATGATACATACATAATAATAATAGATATCTGTTTTTCTTAGAAAGAAGATTGTGCACGTTAATATTTAGTAAACATTCTTTTGTACAATACATTAATAACTAGGAGATATTCCAAGAAAAATGCTTCTCCGTTAGTTGTTTAATCAAATAAAATAATTTGGTTTCTATCAACGTTTATTTTTCTTGTTTGGGGATTTTGTTCCATGACGAGATTTCTTATGCGATACTGGTGACGGACTATGGGCTCGTTGACGTTTCTTTGGATGTACTGTGTCGGGTATTTCATTTTTAGCATCCTCTGTAAGAATAAAAAAGAGGAAATAAGCTAAGTAGTTAAATTCTGAGTAGAATACACTTAAAACAGTTTCATTAAAGAGAACACATATAATATTGATAGAATTTATCGAAAACTTCAATAAGCAATTTAAGCAACAAAGTAACCTATAGGAAGACACATATTTCAATCTAAGTCACGTACGTGTCACACGAATTAGCAATACTACCTGGTTACTTAAACTGCAATGCCTAGTGATATTTGGAGTATATGATAAAGTATGACAGATTACAGGGAAAGGGATAGTATAGACAGAAGGATTCACATACAAATCTAACAAAGATTTCGTCAAACATAGATTAAGCATCTCAGCTGAAAACAAACTATATAATTAAATTTACGTCAGTCAAAGTCGAATGATATTCTGTAAAAAGATGTCAACAATTCAATTCATTTGTATCGGTTGTTTGAATCTTTCCATTGATGTTTAGGTTTGCAGTTGATTAGTCTCTTTTGGCATATGTGGATTCTGTGCGGACTGTCTCGATATTACCCTAAGTCAAGAGTATTATTAGCAGAGATGGATGAAATCCAGGACGCGCGTACCAAGTGCTATTCACTTCGAACGCCACCATGTTATCCACTTAGCTACTGAGTCCAAATAGCGGCCTGGATTTCACTACTAGCTACCATGTATCTCTGTTTATGTCAACAATTAATTCAAGAAATATGTTAAAAAGTTGTGAAATAACCTTCAAATATTTATAGCTATTTAAGGTTGTTTGTTGGTTGAAACCATATCTTCAATTAATTGGATCAGTGATATATAAGGATTGTAATTGATATGAGCATTTTTTCCAAATGTTTTCAGAATCATCCGTGTAACTAAACTAATATTAGAACTAAACACTCAGTCTAATTTTCTGGATAGTTAGGGGTATACAAAATATAGACTAGTGGGAGCTGAAATATCAATCATGAAATCAGTGTCCGATGAACCAAACTCATTTGTTCCCATAAAATACCCTCAAGTTCGGATAATCAGACTTTGAGTTACAGTCTTTATGAGGGCTTGTAGTACTCTAGTAAACTATCCAAATCGGAGAATTTATTAATTTAGCTCAGTTAAAATTCTTATAGACTTGACACAAACCTTTTCTAGCTTCTTCTTCTAATTCATCCCAATCTTTTCCTTCTGATTCATCTGAGTCTAAACTTTCTGGTTCATCCGATTCTTCTTCAGCTTCCCAATCCTCATCATCACCGCTAGACTCATCGCCACTTCCATCTTCCTCACCATCGCCAGATAGCTCACTTTCTGACGGTGCATAATTCTCATCTTCATCTTCCGTGTCCTCTTCATCTTCATCGTCATCCTATTTAAAAAAAATAAAAAGTGTATGAGCAAGTGATACATAAAATAGTTCTATCATAAGCAACTTATTAAGTACACCAATTAATAATAGGTTCAACAGATAATATATATTCTTTGTCAACTGGTCAGGTAGTGAATCTTCATCGACTGAGGCGATTGAAATATGTATTACATATTCTTAACACCACCTACTTAGACGGGTGATGTCGTCTGGTTTATGAGTAGGTTGGAAGAAAGCTAGGAGTGGTTAAAACAAGACATTGCATCAGTCAACAAAGACACTAACTGGTGAACTGAACCATATAAGTGGTTACAAACTGTACGATTGGGGTCCAAGTGTGATTATTGTAACCCGAAATTGAAGGCGTTGGATGACGTGGTTCAGAATGGCAGAGATGCATCTATTTATTAACTGTTAAACCCCTCTTGTAGTTTTTTTTTCTTTTTATAACTCATCTTTTCTACTACCGCTAGTACTGTTACTGCTGTGATTTGTCATGATAATTACATCTTACTGTGTCGTGTGGCCACTTGAGCCGGTGTACATAAGGACGGGCTCATGTTGCGTATAACCACCATAAATATCAGAAAGATAGACTATATAAATAACACAACCATATACTACATAGACGAATCAATCAGAATAATACGATAAGAGTATGATATAAGGAAATATTGTTATATAGGACACATCCAGATTCTTTTGAGCAGTAGGTACTTCGGTAACGTTTCTTGTTATAAACGGATACATGTTGTATATGAAGAAGAATCAAATTACCATAAAGTATTAGCCCTACCACTACGTGATGTTGGTACTCCAGAACTCCACAACCATAAATTTTTGGAAGCCCGCAAGCTGGATATCTTTTTTCTTGATGAGACCTTCCAAAGTTTAGCTGAAGTCTATAAGGCTACTAAGTATATAAATATGAGATGGTAAGCTCTTTGAAGTTCATCAATACCACCACTGCTGCGTTGTTGCACCTAATTTCTCGAGGAACCATATACATAAAAGTACTGTTTAAACTCACCTGTCTAAACGGTAACAATGGCTCTGTCAAATGATGGGAATATAAAAACTGAAGGTTTTAACGCTTAGACCGTTTCATTTACCTAATTCGGAGAATATGTAGTAGTTTCCACACTCATATCAGTAAAATAAGCTCAGCATTTTAACATTTCCCAGCAGTTTGTCTATTAAAGACAATTTTATGTCCACTGAATCTACTTTTTTTGATTTTGAATACATACAATACATACATTATATTCATTGCGTAATACTCACCAATTCGCTTATGCAGAGTGAAAAATTAAATTTGTTTGTACTACTACTATCTAAAAATTTCTATCAACCTGATTACGCCTATAAACTGACGGGTATTTTGCCCTAACATTCAGAAAATTATTAACTAGACTAGTAGAATACTGATATGTGTAAATGCTTTATTTGACTACAAAGTTTCACTAGTCAAGGTGGCTGATGAAATTCCATCACGAATATTAGATCATAGCTTGTCTGCTGTCAACCTACACCAAACTTTGCAGGCATTAAAAAAATATCTATCTGTCTAGTGCAACAGTACGCTTTGTCCTACTTTACATATGAGGAACATGGAACAAATAAAACGTACAAATCTTAAATATTCAATTGTGTGAAGATAGCATGTAAGTAGGAGGATGAAGTTATGGCATTTGATGAAGCTATTAACTATTGATCCACTATATTTTGAGGAAGTCTCTTGTTTAAATCCGTGAAATAACTTATCCAGTGCTGGAGACTTTGGATGATGCATATAAAAAAAGATGACAATCGGTAGAGGTATCTTCAGTCGAAGGCACTCTAAATCGTTTATATACTGTGACATTTTTTACTTGCTAATCAGATCAGACTTCCTTGATATACACCATCTGATGTAAAGTTTTTTAAACACTCGGAAATGAAGTCACATATGAATGAAAATGTATTAACAAGAGAAAAAGATTGACGTATTCGGTATTAAACGTGAAAATACTTGTATAATTATTGTCTACATCATCATAGCACTCACTTCATCTGGTGATATAAATGACCAACCTCCTTGTTCAACAAATCCTTCCGGATCATCAAGAATAGTTTTCATAAGTTTAGGCCAATTAAGTGATTTTGAGGCTTCGGCATAGAAGATATCACACGATCTATGATGCATAAGAATATTTTTTTGTTAATAAGATAAATGATATTTCTTGCATCAAGTTTTTGTATAAATATCAAATTATCCATTCATTATTAAAATATAATTATTAGGAAAATGGTTTACATTCGTTTGTTGAACTTCAGTTCTTTACAGAAAAAGAAATCGTGGGTCAAAATAAAACTGTTGGGGACTACATATCCTCAAAACTCATATTTTGTAATTTTATCATATCGATTAAATATTTAAATATTTGAATGGCAGTCAGTTGATTAAATAGCAGACAATTGATGACTCATTGATTATTGTTTAAAAATTTCCTATGACAAAATCGATATATATTTGTATAAATACGCTTGACTTGTATGCTTGATCTGATCTGCCTGATCTGGCTTGGTATCTGCTGTTACTTGTAGAATACACTTCTACGCCTTACCAAGACTTCTTGATCGAGTTAGCTGAGTCGAAGACAACGGACCAGAATAGTCTATTGATTCTCTGAATCCTGAGCCTTCGTTCCGTTCCGAATAAGTCGAATCAGTGGTATCCTCAAGGTTAACGAACCTAACAAAAACACTGTTAAATGTAGTTGGATTACAAACAATGAATTTTAAGTTAAAATGCAAGAATTTCCACTAACAAGTCCCGTCAGGTTTCAACTACGTTTTTACTTTGGTTTGATCAACCGAGTAGTGTTGTTTGCATTCAAATCTCGAGTAAATAAGTTACAATACTGTTACGAGTTACTGGATTATCTTTTAATTCTAGGGAAACAGAAGTGGGATAGTTAGACATCCTAAACATGAGCGCATGTGATTAGTCAACATTTGAGCTCTTTTATAAGGAACGAGACACGCCATTATTTGAACATGTGGCTTAAATTTCTACGGGATATATATGAATGTACAGATATTTCTCGACATGGGTTAGCCAATATAAGTTTTCTCACTCAAGTGACTGGTTCGAGCTCACGTAAACGGAGCTTGTATATCAGTACCAGAATCAGACATTGCACAGCACAGCAAATACACGTCATTTACAATACGGATTTACTTGACCGAGCTGTACTACACCACCCTAGCGGTTAGATTGAAGTGTCAACATTTCTCATAATGCTTACATAAATGACAAACCGAGTTTTACAAAAATAGACGTTATTAGTAACAGTTTACGTCAGCCCATTGCTGATATGAGGACTGAATTCCAATAAGTTTTATTGGAATATTCGTACTGTGTAATTTGCTTCGATATGACCATTTTATTACATGTTTTATGGAACAGATGAATTGTGCCTATAAGTAGGGTATAAATATCTTACCTGTTGAACAAGTTAGTATATCGGTGGGTAGAGCGTGTCTCAAGAGAGGGAGATCGAATTCGAGTACTAGTGTGAACATCAAAATTGAGATGCAAATATATCCAGCTGGCGAGCCCCAAATAGGAGGGAATGTGATGTTTAGATTGTATACAACTATACAGTTTAATGAATGCTAAGGAGAACTCAAGTTATTTACTTTTTGCTATTACATGTTAGTTCTTTCTTGGAAGGGTAATCTCAATACTACTTCCCTAATTTATATTCCCGCAAAAACGTTTGCTGTTATCTGATAGGTTGCTATTGCCTTTAGTTTACTAACTTTGTCATGTCCTTTAAGATCGGTGCAAGTTTCTACATAAACAGAGTTGTTCCTTGTCAATTTTTAACTTCCGTACAAAAAATAAAGTTGCTCTGGGAGTCTCCTATTCTCTGTTAGTGTGGATTACTAACGTTGAAGTTTTTTTAATTGACAGATGTCGAGTTTATTTAAGTTGCCATTAGTCAAGTCGTATTTGAGGGAATCCTCAATCGTTTGTAAAAAGAATTTACCGTAGGTCAACTAGAAACTCCATAAGATATAATCGTTCTATCAAGGTTTAACAATTCGCAGTACACAAACCAATAAAAAAACACAAAAAATACGACTTACAACAACCATTCTTTAACCAGTTCCAAAGCAGTACTCGGTATTGAATTAATCATTGCTGGTTTTTTATGATAATCTTTAAAAACAAACACCATATCGAATGTACGAATCGATAAGCTGACACGTTCCAACATGACAAATTCAACTTCATCCAATGTAACCACGAATGCAGGTAATTCAACAACACTTATTAATGCACTACTTGTAGGCATCAGTAGTACAGTTGATCTGTAAAAACAACAGTAATAATAAAAGGAACGATTGAATTTTCAGGATTATCAGAATGATCTTATTTGAACACTTCTTCTGATGGAGTGTAAACGTCGTACGATTTTAAAAATGTTAACTATGGATAGACACCTTCGGACACAACGTACAATCTGCAAAATATGTACACACCATATCGGCACAGAGATAAAATTATGAAGACAAATCCCAGTGTATTAATAGCATCAGTGATATTAAAGAGATTTGACATAGAGACTAAGGTTTTAAGGCCATGAATTTGAGAGCTAAACTACAGGAGAATTTCAAAAATCAAAAGGTGTTGTTGTGAAGGGAAAAACAAAAGATGAATGTATCGGTACCATAGTAACCGATTCTTAGTCACCCAGTAATTCCACTCACCAGTTATGGTAATCTTACGGCATATATATAGTACAATTATTCATGAAGAATTATTTTACTGTTATTTTTGAAAATTTTAGCCGGAGTACCTTGGATTTAGATGGAGAGCAAATACTATGCATACGAGTGCATCCAAATAAAAAGTCCCAAATAGGATGGATTCTACTGGTGGCCATATACCAAATACACTATTTCAACTGTCAGGTTAGGTATTAGAAAGCTATTTTCTCTTCACAAGGTATCATCAGCATACATGTAAAAAGTGTAGCATAAACACCAGTGTATAAACATCTACGAAGTTGTATTAAATATCTGATGAAAGACACGACAAATTAAACATTCGCAATTTCTCGGGAACTGAATTTAAATGACAAATAATCTTTCAGACTAAATAGTTGAAACATTTGTATTACGCTAAACAATACGATTATGTATGATTCCGATAGATCACTTATCAAACAAATTCCAATTCGATAAGGAAAGTAAATTTCCCATGAAATTTCAGTCCTTTATATCGGAAGACGATGTCAGTCAGTCAGTCAGTAACAACGTAGAACTTCGTACGTACGTACATCAGTTCGAGTTGCCACACCACATTAGCACAGAGATGCAGTTGTCGATTCAAATCCCATAGTGGTAGAGGTAATAAGAGTATAAGCAGTAATCGGGAAGATTAGGGTTTGGAGATGTTATTTAAAGAGTATAATACAGTGAAATAAATTTGGAAAGAGGAAAAAGGGACATGAAGAATTCAGAAGATTAGAATTTGGGAGAACACAAAGAGTAGATGCACCTGCGCCATTGCAAACGATTTTGAGCCATCTCATTCAGGTTCTCTAACCATTGGTTGCTATCATCTCGTGGTCCCCAACCAGGTAGTCTACACCTACCAACATGACTCAGTCCACTTGTCAGTGAGTTCATGGACCTGTGCCATGTTTTGGTTTGGCCGCCTCTAGCTTTCTTCCAACCTACTCCTATACCACTGAACATAGCACGTCGAGGCAGTCGGTCGTTGGGCATACGTAACACGTGTCCCAGCCATCTCAACTGATCAAGTTTCACTACGTCATCAATTGATTTGCCATCCTTACCTAGTACCCGTTTCCTAACAACTGTGTTACTTACTCGATGGTCCCATGATATACGAGCAATGTTTCGAAGACACCTATGATCGAATACTAGTAACCTACGAATATCTTCTACTCTTACCGGCCATGTTTCACTGCCATAAAGTAGGACGGAACGAACTGCTGCGCAGTAAACACGTCCTTTGGTTGATAGACGGATATCTCGCCTACGCCATAAATGACGCAAGTTGGCAAAAGCTAGTCGAGCCTTCTGTATCCGTGCTGAGATTTCGTCACACACTAAACCACAAGGGCTGATGAGACTTCCAAGATAAGTGAAGCGGCCGACACACTCAACTACTTCACTCCCTATCACTAGTTCGGGTGTCGATGTAACCCAATCCTGAAGCAACATTTTACATTTCGAGGGGGAGAATGGTATCCCGAACATGCTTGCATTGTTGCTTGGAGTGGTCAGAAGACTCTGCATTTTGTCAGCGTCTTTACCAAATAAAACCATGTCAACAGCATATTCTAAGTCAACAAGTGAACCTCCCGGTAGAAGTTCAATCCCTGTAAATTTAGATGAGGAGAGTGTTATCTCTAAAAGTACGTCAATGACAAAGTTGAACAAGAATGGGGAGAGTGGGTAGCCCTGACGAACACCACTTGAGGTAATCAATTCTGATGACAGTTCGCCATAAGCTCTCACTCTACCAGTTGTGTTCGAGTAGAGAGCCTGTATAAGGTTAATGTACTTCTTCGGTACTCCTTTCAGTGACAAACACTGCCATAGAACCTTACGATCAACAGAGTCAAATGCCGCCTTAAGGTCGAGAAATACTACCATTGTGGGGCGTCTGAATGTGTGTCTGTGTTCTAGAACCTGATGTAGTGTGAATATCTGATCTATACAACCACGTCCAGGTCGAAAACCGGCCTGATTTTCTCTAATCTGCTCTTCACGAGCTTTGATTAGGCGTCGAAGTATTATTGAAGCTAATATTTTAGACACTATATTAGTCAAACTGATTCCTCTGTGATTGTCACATGAGGACTTTTGTCCTTTCTTAAAAACTGGCACAATCAGTGATTGGGACCAGTCAGATGGGATTACGTCCAGTTCCCAAATTTTACCTAAGACCTCAGTTAATCTCACTGCTAATACTGAACCACCATCCTTAAAAATCTCAAGAGTAAACATGTCAGGGCCTGCTGCTCTCCCTCGCTTCAGATTTCCTATGGCTTTTTCAACTTCGTAAAGGGACGGAGGACCTACATTAACTTGCCATTCAGGTTGACTAGAGATCGTGGGAAACCGAAGTGTGGCTGAAGGCCAGTTGAACTGATCCCTAAAGTGTTCTGCCCATCGATCCAATCTCCTGGATTGAGAATGAATAATATGTCCATCTTTCTCTGAGATTGTTTCGCTAACGGTCGGGTTCCTAATTCTGGTTTCATTAACGAGTTTGAACAATTGTCTGCTATTACCTATTGCCGCTGCCTTTTCCATCTCTTTTGCTTTCGCTACCCACCACTGTTCGCGATCATTGCGTAGACTTTTTGTCAGCGTGTGCTTAAGCTGACTCCGCTCTTCATTATGTTCAGAGCCAGGTGGAATGGGTTTCCGAGCATCTATCAGTGCGATAGATGCTGCTGAGATCCAGTGTTTCTCCATAACCTTACGGGTTACCATACTAGCAGATATCACTGCTGTTTCCACAGCTTTTCGGATATCATTCCATGCTGCCTCAGGGTGGGCATCACATACAGGGCTGCCTAACTGTTTTCCTAGTTGTTCCCCAAATATACTCTTAGCTTGACTATCATTAAGTAGACCCCTAAGAGGTTTCCTTGCAGCGTCTTTCCTACGTCCAGTAAGACGCAAGCAAATACGCGCTTGCACTAGAACATGATCTGAATCTAAGCATGTGCTCCAGAATGAGCGACAGTCTTCTATCGAGCCTCTCCATCGGTGGCTGATAGCGATGTGATCTATTTGGGTCCAACGTTGGGGCGAATTAGGAGGTCGCCATGTTAAAAGATGTCTTTCCTTATGCTTAAAATTAGTATTTGAAAGGAACAGGTGGTTATCTGAGCATAGCTGCAACAGACAGTCGCCATTATCTGTTCTTTGAGCCACGACACTATAACATCCACCTAGGTGTCTTTCCCTATCGCTTAGTTTACCTACTTGAGCATTAAAGTCACCGGCCACTATTACTACATCAGAGCGCCTAGCTTTTCGGAGAAGGTCGGAAAGCTTTCTGTAAAACTCATCTTTTACATCATCTGAGCTGCAGTCAGTGGGAGAATAAGCAGAGACGACGAAGAGGCAACGACGAGTGTCCCTATCTTTCCGGATTCTTACTGTTCCGTTCAGTCGGACCGCACAAACGGCTGTCTACTGGGATCCAGTCTAAGAAAGCTAGTTCTGCCCTAGGACTCAATGATATACCTACGCCGGCGAGGCCACGGGAAGCAGAATCACGGCTTCCAGATACACGAAGCGTAAATCGAGTCGGTTCTTTATTTTGGCTTGGTGAGGTCAAATGAATGACGCTACTTGGATCCTGTATGCGCGTTTCGGAGACACAGCACACATCGATGGTGCGAGATTCTAAAGTTCTAGCTAAGGAAGCCTGCTGTCCTATTTGGCAAAGTGTTCGTACGTTGAAAGCTCATACGTGTAGTTTAGAGCGTGGTTTCAGGAGACCGGGAATGGCGTTCCACGTACTCGAATCGTTTGCCCTAGCGGTGCGAGGTGATAAAGAGACGTGAGGAGGGTTAGTCGGGAGGATAAGAGAGGTATTAGGAGGTGTAGGAAGGATTTGAATGTGACCACCTTGGTCTCTTGTGCTATTACGGGTATGAGGGCTGATGTCACTTCCCGGCTGCCCACACCGTGGAAGGGTATTTCTTGATGAACCTGAAAAGGAAATTGGATTAGTGTTGGTCTTGACGACCTGGGAGCGTGACCGCAGAGCCCAAGGGACAACTGCTTGAGGCCGGTCGCGCACGGCCTTTTTGTGGAAGGCTTTTGGTGTGTTAGCTCCGTTCTTCAAACGGCCTTACCGCCGGAGACGGAAATCCGTGAGGTAAGGTGAGGTGTGACATTTTTAGGGTCAACCTTTTCTAATCCCACCCCTCCTTGTGGGAAGGCAGCATCGCTGTCATGCTGGTTGTCCGAAGGAAACACCTTACTGCTGTCACACCCCTCTATAGTCAGCAGTACGACTTCGCCCTCAGACCTTGAGTTGCTGCTTTTAGTCTTACCGTTCACCAATCGACCTGCCTGGCATGGTAGAACCTACAGGAACATATGTTCCAGCCAATATAGCTCGGTTGGGTCATAACGATAGGCAAGCCCGACCACCGCGTCAAGGTAGCAGCCTCGGTCAGGCGGAAGACGATGTGTTCGATGGCTAGCTCTATCTAAGCAAAGTGATAAGGTGAAACGGGGACACGAAGAACAAATTAATAACACAAAGAAACAAACCCATCCGCAGTAAGAATATAGCATATTCTGTAAACACTAAGATCTTATATGCAATCCAACAATTTACCGGAAAGGACATCCATGAAATCCAAGTTCACGGAATGGTGTTTCGAATTCTAGATCATATCGACGTGCTAAGTTCTCAGATCTATCCACAAATGAACGAAATGCCATTTTAATTTGTTCTCTCATTTCACGTTCTCTTTGTTCCGCCTCTAAATCATCACGATCTTGCATACGAGAATGTGTTTTACTCAAATCTGTGGTTAATTCACCAACTTCTGTATAGAACTGGATATCGGTATGCTTCTTCTTGCCATACATAATTGCATTCTAAATTTAAGGGAAAAGAAAGAAAAATCGACTTATTTCATATTAAAAATAAGTAGTTACATAGCAGAGGTGTTTAGAATAGTGTTAAACAATTTGATTACCAAGTAGTAGTAGTAGTAGTATAGGAATGTACTCTTTGCTCTTAAGTATAATATTTTACGACTGATGATATTACCCGACTATCAGAGTCGAATTCGAAAGTCTATCCCACTGGTTGAATGTAAAATGCTTTTGAAGACTAAGATAACGCTCTTATTCAGTGAATAAAAACCTGGAAATTATCGCCAGGTGGCTATGAATGGTAAGCACTTGACCTACAAATATAACATAGTTATGAATGATTAGTTTATGTGTGAACAATAAAACTATGATGCTGAGCTAGATCCATTTTCATTAAAAAATATCTAAAGATGAAATTATTGTCAGCAACCAGTTGGAGAGTGAAGCGAATCAACTTTCAAAGTAAAAATTAATCAGAAATCCATTGAAAGGTATAACCAGAATTACCGGTGAAAAATTACTCACAACGCTACACCTATTATCATAAATGCAGTAAGAAGTAAACAGTTAGAGATAGGTGACATGTGGGAGTAACAACTTTAAGAGTATTACTTGATAAACAAATATGGCTTAAGAAGGTCCAGAGAAAAATCTTCATAAATTAAAAGCACGAAACTGGTTACTACAAACAGATCATTTGGAATTACGACTTCAAACAATTGTAAAAGTACCTGTTGACATACCTTTAAATGGAAATGCAGTAAAATAATCATTTCTCCATCACATGGCTGATAGAATGCATGCTTAATATTGTTATACAGAATATCAACTTGATCACCTCGAACTGAAGTGAAACGGAAACCGTTTGAATGAGCCTCTAGCGTACCTAATGAAAAATAGGTAAGTATGGATGGCATATAAATGATGATAATGATAATAACATGTAATATTCCATGTTGATTATTTTGTCGATTCTTTTGACAGTAGAGCACTACACATCATTTAAAACTACTTACGGTAATTTACTTGGATTGGTATTTAATATCAATTATCCTTTCCGATTAACAAAAACCATATAGAAATTCAGTCAGTCAGTAACAACGTAGAACTTCGTACGTACGTACATCAGTTCGAGTTGCCACACCACATTAGCACAGAGATGCAGTTGTCAACTCAAATCCCGTAGTGGTAGAGGCGGTAAGAGTATAAGCAGCAATCGGAAAGATTAGGGTTTGGAGATGTTATTTAAGGAGTATAATCTAGTGACCAGCTCCACTGAACCCACCCAACATCGAAGCAGCACCTACGGACCTCCCAATCAATGTTGGCCCACCAATAATTGAAGAAATCAGCATGGCCATCAGACAAATCAAGAGCGGCAAAGCAGCAGGACCGGACGACATCCCAGCAGAGGCACTAAAAGCAGACGTAGCGGCAACTGCAAGGATACTCCACATTCTCTTCAATAAGATTTGGGATGAGGAACAAGTACCAAAAGACTGGAAAGAAGGACACCTGATCAAAATACCGAAGAAAGGCGATCTCAGCAAGTGTGATAACTACAGAGGCATCACTCTTCTCTCAATACCGGGAAAAGTCTTCAACATGGTATTGTTAAACAGAATGAAGGACTGCGTAGACGCCCAACTTCGTGACCAACAGGCAGGATTCCGTAAGGATAGATCGTGTACAGACCAAATCGCAACTCTACGGACCATTGTGGAACAATCAATTGAATGGAATTCATCACTCTACATCAACTTCATTGACTACGAAAAAGCATTTAACAGCGTAGACAGAACAACACTATGAGAACTTCTTCGACACTACGGCGTGCCTCAAAAGATAGTCAATATCATACAGAACTCATATGATGGATTACACTGCAAAATTGTGCATGGAGGACAGTTGACAAAGACGTTCAAAGTGAAGACCAGTGTTAGGCAAGGTTGTTTACTCTCACCCTTTCTCTCTCTCCTGGTGATCGACTGGATTATGAAGACGTCAAAATCTGAAGGGAAGCACGGAATACAATGGACATCTAGGATGCAGTTGGACGATCTGGACTTCGCAGATTATCTGGCTCTTCTATCCCAAACGCAACAACAGATGCAGGAGAAGACGAACAGTGTGGCAGCAGCCTCAGCAGCAATAGGTCTCAATATACACAAAGGGAAAAGCAGGATTCTCCGATACAACACAGAATGCACCAATCTAATCACAATTGACGGAGAAGATTTGGAAGATGTAAAAACCTTTACATATTTGGGCAGCATCATTGATGAACAGGGTGGATCTGATGCAGATGTGAAGGCGCGGATCGGCAAAGCAAGAGCAGCATATTTACAACTGAGGAACATCTGGAACTCAAAGCAACTGTCAACCAACACCAAGGTCAGGATTTTCAATACAAATGTCAAGACAGTTCTACTGTATGAGGCAGAAACCTGGAGAACTACGAAATCCATCATACAGAAAATACAGATGTTTATTAACAGTTGTCTACGCAAAATAATTCAGATCCATTGGCCGGACACTATTAGCAACAACGTACTGTGGGAGAGAACAAATCAGATCCCAGCGGAGGAAGAAATCAGGAAGAAGTGCTGGAAGTGGATAGAACACACATTGAGAAAAGCACTTGACTGCGTCACAAGACAAGCTCTCACATGGAATCCTCAAGGCCAAAGGAAAAGAGGAGGACCAAAGAACACATTACGCCGAGAAATGGAGATAGACATGAAAAAAATGAATAAGAATTGGATGGAACTAGAAAAGAAGGCCCAGGACAGAGTGGGTTGGAGAATGCTGGTCGGCGGCCTATGCTCCATTGGGAGTAACAGGCGTAAGTAAGTAATAATCTAGTGAAATAAATTTTGGAAGAGTAAAAGAGACAAGGTGGATTCGGGAAATCAGAATTAGGGACAACACAAAGAGTGGATGCACCTGCGCCATTGCAAACGATTTTGAGCCATGTCATTCAGGGTCTCTAACCATCGGTTGTTATCATCTCGCGGTCCCCAACCAGGTAGTCTACACGTACCAACATGGCATATAGAAATTGCAACTTAGTAAACCATGTAATAAGGGTTATATAGATAGTTTAAAATACCCACAATACCACAAACAAGTTAAGAGAATACATTCATAAAGGCGTATAACTTTTAAGAGTTTGGGAAAATGCTCAAACGCATAAATGGATACATACATACAGTCATACATATATAGTAACAAATACCTGTTATTCTTTTCGATGCAACATTAGGACGAATGTATAAATCCTTCAAACGAAAAGAACCTTTAGCATGATCTACGACTAAGTCATCTTGTTCTACGAGATTTGCACGTTCTTTCTCCTCTGCTTCACGGGATCGAAAACGTTTTAATACTTCTTTAATTATACGATAAGCATTATTTAAATTGGTCGATGGTATACTAACTTCACCATGTCGACGTACATTTGAAGCACGATAAGTCATCTCTTTCACATAAGTTGATTCAGGACTCTAAAAAAAATTAAGTTGTACAGGGATAAATTTGAATGTAAGTAACGCAAAAATTGTACAAACAGAAAGGTCGGTAAAAAGCCCTCTAACTCTTCTAACACTAAATAGGTTGGGGAATTTTCGGAATTAAGATCAGCTAGTTGACAATAACAATGCTGAAACTCAGTCAGTTATATGCAACCTGAAATCTGGTACATGCGTGTCAAACCCATTAACACAGCGAGATGAAATTGTCAAGGTGAATCCCAGAGTAGTAGAGGCAGTAGAAATATCAGTAGTAATTGATAAGATTAGGTGCTCACGAAACAATTCGAGAAAATATGTATTTGTGAAATAGTTTTATAAATTAAGAAGCTCAGTTTCTAAGCGGAAACAAAGAATGAGCGCGCATTCGCCAATGAAAACGATTCCGATCAATGCTACACACATTTTTTGACTGTTGTTTACCATAATCATGAGAACCCCAACCAGATAATAGTCTGCACCTACCTACATGGTTCAGTTCAAGTCAGTATCTTCATGGACTGATGCCATGTTTGGAACTTCTGAATCATATTTCGAATGATTGACAAATACTTTTCCTGTACTAGACAATAAAAAACAAGACTAAGTAAATAGGTGTAACTATCTAGATGGGACAAAAACTGAGAGAAGAAACTTTACTCTTCAAAAAGTTCATAGAAAATCTCGGTTACTTGGCGTATTTATTCGTTATGTATCTTATTAGCTAATGCGTTGAACCATTTCACTCACTACGTTCAATAATTTCTTTAAATATAAACTAATATCATTAGTGCGGATGACTTAAAGTTGGCAAACTAGTCTTGCTCAAGGGTTCCCCTTTGTATGGATCCAGTTGATAGTAGAAAGGTAGAAAAATTTTCAATCTATAAAATCAATAAACTAACTTGGAAACTGGCTGTATCTTTTGCGCCAACTAATGCACCAGGATGATGGAAATTTATACGTAAATACGTATAATCAGCTTCAATAGACGTCGACACATTCTTTATTGTACTGATGTGAAATGGTGTTGGAAGTCCGAAAATTGGCAAAATAACAGTTTCATACTTCTTATCTATAAAATAAGGGGCGGAAAGCAGATGGCGTGAAAAAAATCACGATGAAAGTGAATCATTTTCAATTCTACATAAATCATTATACTACTTATAATTCTTGATTATATTATACTGATCACCTTACAGCATTATTTAGCTACATACTTTGTTTGCTTATATTAATCGACTACTAAAACTTGTGATGTGTTTGAACTAGATAAAGTGAATTTTATTCATTATGCGACAAAATCCCAAGCTTATTTAAAAATGTAATTTTAATCTCACGGTTTAAGAGAAGACAATGTGTACATACCTACGCGATTGTGATCGATTCTGCGCCATGTCACCCATATTCTCCAACCATTGGTTACGATAGTCGTGCGGACCCCAACCGAGTAGTCCGCATCTACCAACATGGCTAAGACCAGAAGTTAGTGACTTCAAGGACTGATGCCACGTCTTGGTTTGGCCGTCCCTAACTTTCTCCCAGCCGTCTCCGACACCAGTCAGCATTGTGCGTCGTGGTAAATGATGTTCAGGCATACGTAACACTTCGCCCAACCATCTCAGTCGACGAAGATTGACAACCTCATCGACTGACTTATCATCGTTCCCTAATACCCTGCGTCTAACCTCACTATTACTTACCCAATGATCCCAGCAAATGCAAGCAATGTTTCTAAGACATCAGTGATCAAATACTAGTAACTTACGAGTATCCTCTACCCTTAACAGCCACGTTCCGCAACCGTAAAGTAAAACAGAACGAACTGATGCACAGTATACTCGACCCCTTTTGCCTTCGCCATAAGTGATGTAGGTTGGCAAAAGCCAAACGAGCTTTCTGAATCCGTGCCGAGAATTCGTCAGACACCAACTCATTAGAGTTGGTCAGACTTTCAAGATAAGTGAAGTTGTCGACGCGTTCAACTAATTCATTCCGTATTATTAGTTCAGGTGTTGATGCAGGCCAGTCCTGCAGCAACAACTTGCATTTAGAGGAGGAGAAACGCATCCCAAGCATCCTGACATTGTTGCTCAGTGCTACCAAAAGACTCTATATTTTAACAGCGTCGTCACCAAACAAACCTATGTCATCAGCGCATTCTAAGTCGATAAATGGATCTCCTGGAAGGAGATCAATACCCGAGAATTCAGTCGACGAGAATGTTATTTCCATCAATAGGTCTATGATAAAACTGAACAGAAATGGAGATAGTGGACAGTCCTTTTAGACACCACCTGAGGCTGCAAAATCAGATGACAGTTCGCCATAAGCTCTGACACGACTAGTAGTGTTCGAATAAAGAGCCTTCACAAGGTTTATGTACTTCTCAGGTACGTTTTTCAATGACAGACACTGCCAAAAAATCTCTCAGTCAATCGAGTCGAATGCTGCTTTTAAGTCAAGAAAGACCACCAATGTCGGACGCCGATAAGCATGTCTGTGTTCTAGGACCTGACGAATGGTGAATATGTGGTCGACGCAGCCACGACCAGGTCTGAAGGCAGTCTAGTTTCCTCGTGTTTGCAGTTCACGATTCTTTGTTAGGGGTCCGATAATTATTGAGACCAGTATTTTAGATGCTATCTTAGTCAAACTAATCCTCTATGGTTGTCACAGAATGATTTTGACCACTTCATATATATTGGGACAGTGGTTGAGACCAGTCAGATAGGATTACGTCCAACTCCCAGATTACAGATAAAATACTAGTCAACCTAATCGCTAAAACTGGACCACCATACTTAAAGACCTCTGGAGTCAATCCATCTGGACCAGCTGCTCTTCCTCGTTTCAGATTAGCTATAGCTTTTTGGACTTTAATTAGAGTCGGGGGAAATACTTCAATGTTCCGTCCAGGCTGTCTGAGAATGGTAGGTAGTTGTAGAGTAGCTGCAGGCCAGCTGAACTGTTCTCTAAAGTGTTTCGCCCGTTGTTCTAAATATCTGGACTGAGAGCAAATAAGAGTGTCACCTTTTTCCGAGATCGTCTCACTTACACTTGACTTCTTAATTTCGATTTCTAATATTAGTCTGCAAAGCTGTCTTGTGTTACCTACAGCCACTGCCTTTTCCATCTATTTTGCATTCGTTGCCTACCACTGCTCACGGACGTTCCATAGACTTTTGGTTAAACCAGAACTAATATGTTTTCGCTCTTCATCGCGTTCAGAGCCTGATGCGATGAGTTTACGAGAATTTATCAGTACAATAGACTTGGTAGAAATCCATTGGTTTTTTGTAACCTTTTGGTTTAAATCACTAACAGATGTCACTGTTGCTTCCACAGCTGTTCGAATATCTCCAATAAGTCTATGACCAACATAGCAGAAGAATAGACAACAAAGATAGCGGTTATTCTTTTAATAGCGGTAGCGTGTGCATTGCTATGTCCTTAGCTTATACGATTACTGCGAATACGATTGCCAAATTTCGATGCGCGGATTTATTCAAACAACAAATGACGCATACATCTAAACGGACAGCCTGAAGTCCCGACTGGTCTTTTTCCCTACCTGTTAAGTCCAGAACACGAATCTCAGCCTCAGCGTTATGAATCATATATTTCAAATACACTAGGTTTATATACAAGCCGAACAGACCACAAAACGCCATAAACATAAAATAACATTTGTGGTTTTCCTGAGTGCAGAGAGGTACTAGCAAACGCGTGTTCATATTAGAGCATGATCGGAGTCCAAACAGGTATTCCAGAACGAGTGGCAGTCTCCTATTGAGCGTTTCCAACAATGGATGACGCCAATACGGTTTATTTGAGTCCATCGTTGGTTTGGTGCAGAGGGTCGTCGTGTTAGACGATGTTTCTCCTTATGCTTAAAATTACTGTTTGCTAAGAATAAGTGATCGATTGAGCACAGTTGCCCCAGACGATCACCATTATCTGTTTGCTGAGCCGGAATACTAAAATACCCGCATACATGTCTTTCTGTTTGGTTCAAGCTACCTACATGGGCATTAAAATCACCTGCTGCAAGTACTATGTCTGAGCGTTTAGCTTTATGAAGTTCAGAAAGATTTCTGTAAACTTTATCGTTCAATTCATCCGGGTTGTAAACAATGACAGCGTAGACAAAAAAGATGCAAAGGCAACGATTGTGTTCCTGTTCTTCCAAGTTCTTACTCAGCCGTTTGACCGAACAGCACATAGGCGACTGTAAACAGGGATCCATCCGAATGGTGCATTTTCTGCCCTCGTACTTAGTGCTATGCCTACACCTGCCGGTCTACGAGAACTAGCCATCGGTTCGCCAGTTACACGGAGGGAGTACCTTGTCGGCTCTCCGTTTTCGCGAGGTGAGGTTAAGTGAATGAGCACACTAGGATCCTGTATGCTTGTTTCGGAGACAGCATACGTCAATGGTACGAGATTGTAGAGTTTTAGCCAAGGAGGTTTGCTGGCCGACTTCACACAGGCTGAGTATGTCGAAGGCTCCAATGTAGTTTGGAGCGAGGTTTCAGTAGACCTGGGACAGTGTATCGCGCACTAGTCGTTGGCCATGGTGACACTTGAGAAGGAAGCCGAAAGAGGAAGTTCAGAGTTGAAAGTCGACGTAGGGGGAATAATAGGAATTGAAGAGGGAGAGTGATTATGAATGCAGTGATCTTGAGCGCTGTTAGAGGTATGAGGGCAGTTACCGCTTTTTGGTTGCCCACACCGTGGGACGGTTCCTCTGGAGGTATCTGAAAAGAAAATTGGGTTAGAGGTGGTCCTAGTAATCTAAGAGCGTGACCGCAGTGCGCAAGTGACAAATGCATGAGGCCAGTCGCACACAGCCTTTTTGAGAGTAGTTTTCGTATTAGCTCCGTACTTGTTGGGACCTTAACGCCGGAGAGGGAAATCCGTGGGATAAAGTGAGATGTGCATTTATAGGGTCAACTTGTTCTAACTCCACTCTTCCTCGTGAGAAGGCAGCATCACTGTTATGCTGGTTGTCTGAATGAAACACCTTACTGCCGTCACACCTCTGTACAATCAGTAGTACGACTTCACCCTCCAACCTTGAGTTTGCTGCTTTTAGTCTTACCGCTTTTTAACCGACCTATCTGGCATGGTAAGACCTTGCGGAACGATTGTTCCAGCCAGTATAGCTCAATTAGTTCATTACGATAGGCAAGCTCGACTACCACGTCAAGGTAGCAGCAGCAATCTCAGCCTACCGTACATTGTTATTTTAAGCAATTAAAGCACTTTTTAGTTAATAAAGTCGTGATCATTTACATGAACACTAGGTTGCAGTAATACGCCGATGATATGAATGGAGTAATGGAACGAAACTTACCAACAAAAAGTCGAAGTTTACGAACATCATCTTCCTTAGGCATTTGACCAGCCCCCTTATAAGCAATGCTAGATTTCATTTTAGTGTCTAAATTAGTATCCGTTTTTAATCCTGTTAAACGATTTGTAGAACTTGTTACAAGTTCTTGGAATAGATCTCGCCGGCGGCTCATACGTTTCTCTTCAGCAGTTTGTTCATTCTTAGAAAAAAAAGTGGAGGGGGAAGGGAACAAAATGGTTATTCAGTTTATATGGTTGGAAAGGGAATGAATAAGTTATCCATCCGTAATAACAAATGATTTTTGCTCAATATTACGAATAGATTGAAAGGAAGTTTGAGGAGGATTACAAATTTAAATACTACGCGCTTAGTGCAAACCTTGAAGGTCCTCGTTTACACTTATGTCCCGATTGTCGGCGAGAACAGTTGAGTAGTCCCACATCAACACAAAAAAGACGTATATTATTCGATATTTTTAAATATATTTCTATCTGGGATCAAAATCTGTGACGAATTAAACAATAATCTTTTCATACGGCTAGAAAAATTTCCATAGATAGATCGAGACTCAAAACCAGAGACTGATTCACAGATTACCATCCACATCTGTATTTGTAAACAGATCTAGCCATTAAATATATATATTACTGTATTATAAAATTGGGCATGACAAATTATTCGTTTTTAAATTATTTAGTCTCGAAGAAAGCAGATAGGTAGTTATCCGATTACAAAATATATGCAAAATCGGCAGTATCACATATCAAATTATAATCAGTCACATGTAAACAACAATTTTAAACGAATGAAACAACACTACAGGAATATTTTACAATCGTCGTTTACTTATTCAACTCGCTTACCATGTGGTATAGATCAATGTACTTGACTTCAAGCCACATTTTGAATGTGAATGAAATCTAGTAATACTACCCGGTTTCCTAAAACTGAAGTAGATATCGATGATATATAAGAAAAACGTCACAAACACCAGTTCCTAAGTATCCTAGTACGGCCAAGGGTGGGGAGAATTCGCTCTCCCCCCCCCAAAAAAAATCACACATGACTACGAGTATATAACCACTGCTAGGAAAATCCTACTTATTACCTTCTCGTGGTGAGAGTGTTGTTTACGAAATTGAGGACGAAAAGCGAATGTACGGCGCTGAAATCAGGTTTGCGTATACAGGGAGTCTACCTAGGGGAGTCGGAAAACCTTGATTCTAAATCAACGGTGAACGTGTGCTCAAGGATCCTGAAGGAACAAATTGCGCACAAAACTATTCTTAGTCACCGGCTATTATGGGACCGCATCTGCTAACTTTGCTCTACTGCCTTGTCGACTAGATATCTAAGTCAAAGGCTGAGAGAATGACCACCTAAGAAGAATACCTTTGGTTTGGGCACCCGGGCAACTTTTATGATAATTACTTTTTTGTGCGTTTCATATATATTTTGGTGCCCTTTCGTGCCAATGTTTGTATTTAAATAAATAAATAACACAAACATCACAATGATGATTGAGCAGTATCTACCGTATATATATATAAACTGTTTATTAATTAGTACTACCGTTATCAATATCACTATGATTATTATTTAAAATGGACAGGTCAGAACACCGTTTCCGACAATGAATGAAAGTATGGTTCATCTCTTGTCTAACATTAATAATAAGGATACTAAAAAAACAGATCAAAGATAATTAGTCGTTACATAAGCATAGTGTATGTTAGATTTCATGTAACCTTGGATTTTGTAACGGATATGCAATTCTAGTGAGTTATTACCATAATGCATGAAATAAATTATCTACTGCTTACTCGAGTTTTCTGTTCAATAATAGCACGACGATGTCCGCGACCCAATAATTCTTGTGCAGCATTCACACCAACACTGCCATCACCATTTGGGATAGATTGTTTTTTGGAAATAGCAACTGCACTAGTACCATTTGTCGAACGTGCACTCTGTGGATGTCTACTGCTGGTATCCCTTTTTCCAACATTTCTAGTCTCTTCTTCTTCGTCTTCTTCTCCTTCATCATCTTCCTCTTCCTCTTCATCTTTTATATACAAGCTGATTGATTTCGGTCGACGTTTTGCAGTTAAAGTATACACTAAATTCTCACCGGTATTTCCAACACCAACAGCTAGCACATCGCCTAACCAAAGTGCATAATTTTTCTCAGCTTGAGATTTACCAAGACTGTTTATTAAATTCTAAGCAAGAAAAGCAAATAAACGAACAGTAAAACATTACAAAACATTAAAAAATAGATTGGAATTATCCCATTAATTACCACTAATAGGTTTGATTGAATACATAATATGCTATATTGTTGATTGTCGATGTAGACCATAATTATACATTAAAAGTAGTTAACGGAAATAGTAGTAATGTAATTTACTTAGTTATCAACTAGTTATAAACTTTGTATGAAGATTAGTGATAAATATCACCTCGTAACAATAATCACGGAAGGTAAGTTGTGTATGAGGAATATCAATGTTTATTGGGAAGAAAAACGAGCTACATGTGAGCTTTTGTTCTGTAGCAAGACATTTTCTCCATATCTCACTTATCAGTTTATTTTTAAAGATTTGTTCTGTAATTACATTATGCTAGCTTAGTGTATATGCAACGGTTTTCTAAAATTTTCAAATGGTTAATCTTAACGTCTCTGTTGAACATAATGTTTGAGATATCAGATGGGGTAGGGTGATTGTATATTTTATATGTGAATCATCAATCTTTTTCCCTACAGGTTAGTGACAACTCATCATACATACGTATCTATATTTACCGTTTAAAACCTAGGATGTCAAGATCTTGGAGAATTATTATTATGCAGTTGAAAATATTCAAAGAATGACATGAAAATAGATAACTCAATACCGCAGATATATATTCAGAGCACTATCTATAGATTAGCATAACCATGAAGTAGTTGAACGCGTCGACAACTTCACTTATCTTGAAAGTCTGACCAACTCTAATGAGTTGGTGTCTGACGAATTCTCGGCACGGATTCAGAAAGCTCGTTTGGCTTTTGCCAACCTACATCACTTATGGCGAAGGCAAAAGGGGTCGAGTATACTGTGCATCAGTTCGTTCTGTTTTACTTTACGGTTGCGGAACGTGGCTGTTAAGGGTAGAGGATACTCGTAAGTTACTAGTATTTGATCACTGATGTCTTAGAAACATTGCTTGCATTTGCTGGGATCATTGGGTAAGTAATAGTGAGGTTAGACGCAGGGTATTAGGGAACGATGATAAGTCAGTCGATGAGGTTGTCAATCTTCGTCGACTGAGATGGTTGGGCGAAGTGTTACGTATGCCTGAACATCATTTACCACGACGCACAATGCTGACTGGTGTCGGAGACGGCTGGGAGAAAGTTAGGGACGGCCAAACCAAGACGTGGCATCAGTCCTTGAAGTCACTAACTTCTGGTCTTAGCCATGTTGGTAGATGCGGACTACTCGGTTGGGGTCCGCACGACTATCGTAACCAATGGTTGGAGAATATGGGTGACATGGCGCAGAATCGATCACAATCGCGTAGGTATGTACACATTGTCTTCTCTTAAACCATGAGATTAAAATTACTTTATACCTTCCTTTCTACAGACTAATTCTTTCTCCCTGCATCATATTCTTATTCACAATCCTTCTTCTATATATCACATGCCCCCAAATGCCCTGGTATGGCCGAGAGTGGGGAGAGTCCCCTCTCCCTCTCGAAACGCTCCCACACGGCCACGCGTATATAGCCTCTGCCAGGGAAGTCCTACTCATTGCCTTTTCTTGGCGGGAGTGTTGTTTACGAAATTGAGAGGACGAAAAGCGAATGTCAGGCGCTTCTACTATATTGATGGATATAGAGGATATACCTAGCGGGGTTGGAAAACCCTGATTCCAAATTAATGGTGCACATGGGCTCCAGTATCCTGCAGCAACAAATGGCGTATAAACCAATCATTGGTCACCGGCTACCATGAGACTGCATCTTCTTACGATGCTCCACTGCCTTGTGGATCAGACCTTCAGGTCGAAGGTTCGGGGAGTGGCCCCCTAAAAAACCACCTGCCTCGGTTTGGGCACCCGGGCAGTATCGCAGCCCTCACAAATATCGAATGAGATTAGTATGGCGCATATGTATTTGGTGCCTCATTGTACCAATATCTATATATTAGAATAAAATATCACTATCATTGAAGTAACTAATATGAATTTGGTGTTCATCTTGTTGTGCTAATTGGGTATAGCAACTTAAACCGATGCACTTATGTGCCTGCACACACACTGATTTATCCTTTTTTTCAGGTCACATTTTGACCTTGGTAATTATTCGCTTATCAACTTTGACTGCTTTTATATGAACGTATGTGTATGTATTGCTTATCCTACTCATCACATGTCTGTAACTTATTTTTTTCTAACTGTAATTATCGGGTCATGCTTGGTCAAATCGAGTTGGTTCACTTGCCTTCTCCGCTCCGCTTCTTAGTCTGAATGTCTATCCGGGTAAGCGAATGCTTGAAACAAGTTTCTCCAATACAACCCGTATCTGGCTTCTTATTACCACCGTCACACAAACGGGGTTAGGGTTAGCCTAGGTTATATAGGGAGTTAAATAGAATATTTGTTCATAACATATTCAAAAGTTCACCCAAATCGGAGCCAGATCAGCGGGCTACAAAAATTTTACCATGCTTTACCAAAAACATCACGAGCAAAAGGGGAAACGACGTGAAACAAAAAGGTTTATCAAAATCCATCATAATAATGGGATAAAAAACTGCGATGACACCACAATGTTCAGATGACATTTGACGAATAGTTAAGCGACCTGGAAAAACTCCAGTCACGTATGGAACTGTAAATAAGGTTATGAATTAATGTGAGGGATCAGGATTTCGGGTTAGTAATTAGAAATACAGTTCCCATAACGAAAAAACATTAGTCATAATGCCAGACTACGATTTCGTTTTGAGGACAAATTGATTTTGCGCTAAATCCAAGATGTACTATCTGAAATACGATCGGTTTATCCATAAATTATAATCCCACGAAAATTACTTCCAGAAAACAAAGAACAGGAACAGGATAATGATGGTGCTGAAAAATATCCTTCCATTTTAGGTGAAACTGATTGGAAGATTAGATTTCGTAAGCATCTTGGCTTGACTGTATTACGACATCGTTTCAGTGGTAATTGAAGTTGACAAAACAATTACTGGATAATAAATTAGTAAGATCATCGAAGTTCTATGTCCCCTGAGCCGGATTGTTTAGTGGTAAAACCTTCATTGCCTTTCTAGACATTAAATCAATAAGATTAATGTATGGTCGCGTAAAAACTGATGAACATTAATTGGTGTAACCGACCCAGATGAATGAGAAGCTATCAGTAAACTTTCAGTCTTTAGGTGATGAGATCAGTTTCATGCGCCATAGCAATCAATTATTAACTTTTCATATGATTGTGTAATAACGTAAAATCAGTATAATTTGGAGAAAGTTAACAAACAAAATACAACAACACATGACAATCTATTTTACGGTGGGATGCGCACAGATATAGTTAGGTACAAATTCACTTTAAACGACTAACCTGGAAGCCTAAATTGAAATTCAGTGTCATTCCTCGACGAAATGTTGATGCAGATTTAGGTGATAATAATAAATTACTGTCTCGAAATTCAATCCCTGTTACAAATCTAGAGAAAAAAATTGTACACAGTGCAAGTGGGTACCACTAAGCTATCAAAAGATTTATTTAGAAAACTTTTGCCAGCATTCATCGTAACATGATAACAAGTAGAACCAGATTGATTGAAACATCTGTTTACCCAAAAACTATGACCATCATAGAATACTATGAACAAAGGAACATTTGAAACTAAGTCAATGATACATTAGTCAAAAAAGCATGATGGAAGAGCTCCGTCCTTTGAAAACAACTAGGAAAATTTACATTCGCTTGTAATTTATTTTATAAAGTTTCATGCACTTGCCAATATTCTCGCAAATCTCCTAATAATTTGCCGCCGTTCAAATTGTCATACTCTCAATGGTTTTCTGATGCTGTAATTCACGAGTAAACCACTTGAATAAAAAGAAAATCGTAGATGAATTTATACAAAACTGCTATACACTTAACGGTAGTCAATCGAGGGAAAATATTCATTTTGATCAAACAAGGTCGTATTAGTTGACATTTGCACTTCTACTACAATACTAAAGAATAATATTTCCCCACTAGCCCCTAAATGCCCTGGTATGGCCGAGAGTGGGGAGAGTCCCCTCTCCCTCTCGAAACGCTCCCACACGGCCACGCGTATATAGCCTCTGCCAGGGAAGTCCTACTCATTGCCTTTTCTTGGCGGGAGTGTTGTTTACGAAATTGAGAGGACGAAAAGCGAATGTCAGGCGCTTCTACTATATTGATGGATATAGAGGATATACCTAGCGGGGTTGGAAAACCCTGATTCCAAATTAATGGTGCACATGGGCTCCAGTATCCTGCAGCAACAAATGGCGTATAAACCAATCATTGGTCACCGGCTACCATGAGACTGCATCTTCTTACGATGCTCCACTGCCTTGTGGATCAGACCTTCAGGTCGAAGGTTCGGGGAGTGGCCCCCTAAAAAACCACCTGCCTCGGTTTGGGCACCCGGGCAGTATCGCAGCCCACACGCAAATGACGAACTCTCGATGTCTATGGAAACTATTTTTCTCGCTTCGAATAACAATCAGATGATTCAAATTATTATTATTATTATTATTATTATTATTTACCACATTATTCACCCTCTTCTATACTTATACAGTGGCTCGTCTTTGGTGGAAATTCGACTGTATCTAAACGTTCTCGAGTCACAGTCCGGTTGAAAATTGCATGTTACCATGAATATGAGTACTGAAGCAGTTTTTCTGAAACCACGTGCACCATTTAAACTGGCTGCCTTCAACATCCGCACACTTATGCAGGTTGGACAAAAGATAGGGCTGGCTATGTCTTTAGAAAATCTTAATATCAACGATTGTTTTCTATCCGAGACTTGTATTCAAGACTCTGGTGAAGTACTACAAATTCGCTCTCCATCTGTCGCTTCGAAAAGCTTGCTTTACGTGCGTTTATCCAGGGACCATAAGGCATCTTCGTCTGGTCTTGCTGGCGTTGGTGTCGCACTAAACGCTAGAGCTGAGGCAGCACTAGTCGATTGGATCCCCATTAACAGTCGGTTATGTGCTGTTAGATTAGAAAGTTCCATCAAATTGAGAAGAAATCGGCGTGAGAAACGATGTCTTTTCGTCATCTCCGCCTATGCCCCGACAGATTGCAGCCCGGATGCAACCAAGGATGAATTCTACCACTAGTTAAGTGATCTTCTCCAGAAAGTGCTTTCGACAGATATTGTAGTACTAGCCGGAGACTTGAATGCTCAGGTCGGGCGTCTAGGCACAGAAGAGAGTCGTTTAGGTGGTCGATGGGGACTCGTTGGTCGCAGGACAGATAACTGGGACCGTCTACTGCAATTGTGCACAGGCGACAACCTGTTTCTGGCTAGCACTAACTTCTGGCACAGTCTTTGCCGATGTGCCACCTGGCGTCCTCCCTCTGCGCCTCAAGTCTGGACTCAGATTGATCACATCGCGATCAGCTACCGCTGGCGTGGTTGTGTACAAAACTGCTGCTCCTTTTGGAGTACTTAGCTGGACTCTGATCATGCCCTGGTCTGCGTCAATCTTACCTCACTTTTCAGTGGACAACGAAGTGACCGCCACCAACGGATTGATGCTAGCAAGCTGGTTGCAACTTCTTTTGCTAGTAAGTATCGAACCGAGCTAGCCTCTAGGCTAACTACCATTCCACCGAAAAGTATAGATGAGCATTGGTTGCAATTGCATGACGCCATGAAAATGGCGGGTACAGTCAGTTGTGGGTTCGCGATACGTCCCGCTTATTATCACAGGGTTTCTTCTGGTTCCTTACAACTCATAGAAGCCCGTCGGTCTACTCCGGGTGACCGTGAGTTTGACCACAAACGAAGGCTGTTACGTAATGAATTCGGGCAAAGCTTGCGTAAAGACCGAGAAGCCTGGTGGTCGAAGCGTGCTAATGAGTTGGAAGTAGCAGCTGCATCTGGTAATTACCGGAAGCTCTTCCAAATCATCCGAGCTACTGGCAGCAAGAAGTCTGGTGTGAGCGAAACAATCTACGAGGATGATGGGATGCCAATCACTAACATCCATAGACGTCTTGGACGATGGGCAGAATTTTTCGAAGGGCAGTTCAACTGGCCTGCTGCTCCGGCAACATCGGTCAGACTGTCCTGCCCTCCATGGCCGGTGACGACTGATCCACCAAATGAGGCGAAAGTCCGCAAGGAACTCCAGCTCTTGAAAAGTTACAAATCACCTGGTCCAGATGACTTACCTCCGGCTCTTTTTAAAGATGGTAGTGACTTTCTAAGGGATTGACGACGTTGTTTACAAAGGTTTGGGAACTAGAGAGTGTACCAACGTCATGGAATGAGTCGATAGTTGTCCCTATCTTTAAAAAGGGTTCACGTCGTTCCTGTAACAACTATCAGGGGATAAGTCTACTTCCGATTGCGTCCAAGCTATTGGCTTCCGTCATACTTCGTAGGTTGTTCAAAACCCGAGAGAGATTGACTCGCTAGCAGCAGGCTGGGTTTCGTTCTGGTTGAGGATGTATTGATCATATCTTCACTCTCCGCCAAATGTTAAAACATTGTCATACTTATCAAAGGCCAACAATGTTAGTGTTTCTTGACATTAGGGCTGCCTTCGATTCGTTGGATAGGACTGTTCTCTGGGATTGTCTATTGAAGAAGGGTGTGCCTGAGAAGTTTATTAACATCCTAAAAGCCCTATATACAAACATCTCATGCAGAGTGAGGGCATACGACCACCTCTCTCCATTGTTCCATTAAAGCAATGGGGTTAGGCAGGGTTGCCCAATCTCACCATTCCTCCTCAACTTTGACATCGATGACATTCTGGAAACAGCTCTGATGGATGTAAGTAATGGTGGTGTGGATCTGTTGCCTGGAGAAAGACTTCTCAACCTTGAGTATGCGGATGATATTGTCTTACTGTGCGATAATGCCCAAGGCATGCAATCCGCACTTAATTAGTTGGCAATCAGTGTCCGTATATATGGTATGTGCTTTGCACCTTGGAAGTGCAAAGTACTTCTACAAGACTGGAAGGATCGTAATCCTGTACTCACCCTGGATGGTGAGCAGATAGAAGTAGTCGAGAAGTTAGTGTATCTGGGTAGCTGCATAAGTACTGGTGGGGGTGTGAGTGATGAGACCAGTGTACGTATAGTGAAAGCCAGAGCGGCTTATGCCAATCTGGGCCATCTTTGGCGCTTTCGTGATGTTAGTCTGGCTGTAAAAGGTCGGATCTACAACGCGTCGGTGAGAGCAGTTTTGCTCTATGCTTATGAAACCTGGCTTCTCCGAGTTGAGGACGTTAGACAACTCTCTGTGTTCGATCATCGCTGTCTCCGAAGGATTGCTGACATCCAGTGGCAACACCATGTCAGTAATCTAGAGGTTCGGCATCGTGTGTTCGAGCACAGAGATGATAATGCAATCGATGTCACCATCTTGAAACATCGACTTCGGTGGCTTGGACATGTTCTACGAATGTCGTCCCAGAGAATTCCACGTCGTGCATTATTTGTCGACTCTGGGACTGGTTGGAAGAAGCGGAGAGGTGGTCAGTGCATGACATGGTGTCGTGGTATGAAAGAAAACTGCAAAGGACTAGCCTCTGTCGGTCCTTCACGACTTCCTGGTTGGGGCCCAAGAGATGGTGCTACACAGTGGCTAGAGACGTAATCAGATATGGCTCATAATAGAAGCCAGTGGCGATCCTGCTGTAACCTTCTTTTACTTTCTTCATAAAAAGTGGTTGTGTCTCCCTTAACTGAAAGATTTCTTCTGATTGTACCTTTCCGTTCCCTCATTATTACTATTATTATTACCACACTACCTTACACCAACCACTTCGTTGTTGTTCTCTTTTTTTCAGGCTCCCTACCTTTTTTTCTTTCTCTTCGAATTCTCATTGTTTTGTGTGGCGCATATATATTGGCGCTCTCTTGTACCAATATTTATGTGTTCAAATAAATAAATAAACTAGCAGTAAAAATTATGTCCCTACAAATAGCAATTTCGTCAATCTATATTTCCTAGTATTTTTTGAATCATCATTGTGGCGAATAGAAAACACGATTGAGATCAAGAAACAAGTCAAACATCAAAATGATTGGTAAGTTGTTAAGTTTCCAGCTCTCGCGTCAAAGCGGACCTTTGAGTAGGAAATCATCTCACTGTTTACAGTTAGATACGGGAGTAGAGATCACTATTATATCAGACTTGGGTAACTATCTGTAATAAAGACTATTAAAATAGTTAGAACAGGAACTGTTATTATGTATCCTTCTCACTCAACCCGGGCATTGTAGTTATTAAGAAGCCAAGTGGACTTTTGGAAAAGATAGGGTAGAAGAGGAACAATACCTTCTTACAAAGTGATAATTTTTTCTGTAGATCCTAAAAAGTTAGTGGAAATAAACTATTATGTTATATAGATACAACAGGTTTTAGCAACAAAACAACCACTTTGGTAAGGACGATATGAAGAGATGATGAGAGACGACAAGTGAATAGATTATTCTAAGCAACAATGGTTACCGATAATTCAAAAACAACAGGGAAGTGGTGAATGGGTGCATACATCGTCGTCTACCATGCCTGAAAGGTAACAGATACACTGAGCTATAAATTGTACATTTGGCACAAAAGTTGACTGAGCCTCCATGATAACAAATGTTTAGCAAGTAAATGTTTATTTATACGGGCTTGAGCAACACTTACATTTATTTACGCAACTATTCAACCCGAAGGAAATGCAGAGATCAAACCTGTAACTTAGCTTCTAAAATCTAATACTTCAACTAATAAGCCCATGCTTCGATAGGGATTCAAAAGTCAATGTATATAGTGTTTCGATTTAATTACTTAAATCGAGTTAAAGAGTTTACCATAATCTTCCATACGAAAAAATACTTCTAAACTATGAGGAAGGAACATCATAAACTTAAAACATTAAACTAACCCGTAGTTGCGTAGGAGGTTTTCAGCTAATTTAGGACGTTCAGTCGACACTTTGTTTGCAATAGCCTGACAGAAATCTGATATTTTAACACCTATAAAAGTGAGAAAAAACAATAAATTTTATCTTAACTTTGCGATGCAAACCACCTTGTATACTTGTCATGTACAAAAATGTCTTTACATCCTCAACCATATGTATAATATTGTCCTGACAATTTCATCTTTCTGTGCTAATGAGATATGACAACTTGAACCGATGCACGTATGTACCAGGTTTCACGTTGTGTATGACTGACTGACTGACAATACATACATACTCGAAGAAAATGACGAGAGAATTGCATGTTGGAGTGACATAGGTACGGTGTAATGGGAAGGTGAAATACAACTGACTTTATTTAACGGCGAACGCAGACAACCCTTCATTCTCTTTGTATTTGTATCTCCTAAAGTTGCTCCACGTAAATTATTCTTAGTGATTTAGTTATTCACATTAAGATAAAACGCTTAACATGTCTGTTTTTAATCAAACTTCAACGTTTCTTCAGGCTGTGAATAACAGAAAACTAAACACCATAAGCCAATAAATCTACACATATATATGCACAAACTATGAATGAAAATATATGACTGGTAGAGGAACAGATATATACATAATGAATGGCAGTAGTTTTATGGGCTAGTAACACTTAGACAAATTTTCACTGTCCACTGTTCCACTCGGTTGATTAACAATCCTTAGTGAGGAAATCAACTCCTCATTCTACACATAAGAGTAAATACATGTAAACTTGTTCTTACTTCACAAAAGACTAAATTATATTTCATTTTACTTTTATGAATCCGGTGTCCATCTTGTTGTGTTAATGAGGTATGGCAACTTGGACCGATGCATATATATGCCTGGTCCTACGTTGTAGCTGACTGACTGACTGACGCTTATTGACTGGGAGAAATTAGTTTTTCTAGTCAACTAGAGGAATTTCAGAAATTGTAGTCATTATTTAAGTTGAAGTCTCGAATAAATAAACACATGTTACAATAACATACTATTCTTACGAAGATATCTGGTCGAATTGTAGTTAAGGAACATCAACGAAATGAATAGTGAGTTACATTCCACATCTTGTTATTTCATTAGAACCTATCAGTTTACAAAAAATGGCCACTGGAACCTAAGAGTACTTATAATTATAGCAGTGATAAACAAACATGAACTGTAGAAAAAAGTGTACTCACTTGATTCTGAAGAATACAACATACAGCTTCAGTAAGACAAGTGAATTTTTCGCCACTTTACGGGCATTTTAGGATTATGGAATAAGATTAAATATTTATCAAGGTTATATGAAAAAATAACTCCTTGTACTAGTTATACAGGGCAGGCAAGGCACACAAGAAAACTTAGAAGCGCACATAATGTATGACAAAACATATGACTTGGAATACTTACCCGGTTTAATTTGTTCTATACACCAATCAAATAGATCATGTAAATAAGTGTAATTAGCAGACTGCTCATCTGTAGGATTGACCATAAGAGAACGGATTACATTAGAACAATAGGACTGATAACGCACTCCTAAGGAGCAAATAATAATCCCGAAATGAAGAGTCCGGGTGTCACTAAAATAATTCCAAGGAACAAATATATAAAATTATCTCCATAGTTAATATCCAGTAGCAAGAAGTATAACCAATGAATGATAAATTGAAGTGAGCTACAAAGCATTTTAGTGGGAAACTAGTAAGACATCATCCTAACTTCCACAGTTCATTTTACAAGTTTTAAGTCGCTACAACGGCCGAGTCAATCGTAAATAAAGTTAATCAATTGCCAAGAACAAATAGGGAATCAATAGAGGAAGTGGTCAGGAACCACAAATGTACAATCTTCCTTAAATAATGAGTATTTAACATACATTTGGAATGAAAGAATTGGTAGTATAATTTAGATATTAGTTGAAGCCTCGAACTGATTGACAATACAAACCAGTAAGGTGTTGAGTTAAAACTTTATATATATTACTCAAGGTCTACTCATCTCTTCGTCAACGTCATCAAGTGCTTTCACTCTGTGCCTATGGAAGATGATCTCACAGTTAAATTATATACCCGTAGAAAGAAGTAGTTTGCCAAGTATAAGATGCTATCTAATCTTTACACGGTGATAAAATATTTATACTAGCTGATCCGAAAATAAGTACGGTCCTCATATAACATCTACGTAGTAGAGATATAAAATAAGAAAATAACAGTAAACTGTAACGAAAGTACATACGTGATAAATAAGACTGGTGAACTGAGGGTAAACAGAACCTCGTGATTGCAATATTTCAATGAAATGTTACTAATCAAATAGCCGTATTATTACTGTTCTGTCTGACGTACAAGTGCAAAACTTAGTTTCGAGCTACACTATTTATATGAGGGCCAGGGACTAGTGATATTCTGCAGAATGTGTTAAATGTGAAAAAAACCATCTGCGTGAATTTTTCTTATTACTTTTAAATAATAAGAATGGAGGTGACCATAAAGAGTTCATCATTTGTGTGTGGGCTGTGATACTGCCCGGGTGCCCAAACCGAAGCAGGTGGTTATCTTAGGGGGCCACACCCCGAGCCTTTGACCTAAAGGTCTAACCCACAAGGCAGTGAAGCATCGTAAGGAGATGCAATCCCATGGTAGCCGGTGACCAACGAATGGCTCACACGCCATTTGTTCCCGCAGGATACTGGAGCACATGTGCACCATTGGTTTGTGATCCGGTTAAAGCGCCGGACATTCGCTTTTCGTCCTCTCATTTTCGTAAACAACACCCCCGCCACGAGAAGGCAATGAGTAAGACTTCCCTGGCAGAGACTGTATACGCGTGGCCGTGTGAGAGTATTTCGAGAGGGAGAGCGGACTCTCCCCATTCTCGGCTGTACCAGGGCATTCGGGGGCTGGAGGTGACCAAAAATAAGCAAATAATAATAATCTAGCAAACAGCATTTTACTGGGTAAGTGCTAAAATTGCTTCCATTTAAATTGTCTTTGACGATTTATATAGAGTTTCCTGACCTTTCTTTTTATTCATTAATATCAGTTTCGTTTGAGTTTCCCATTCTTAAGTTAATCCTAGTGAGTATTCACAAGCGTGTTTAATGAATAACTGATTTTCAGTTACTATTGATCATTTATTACGTTCTTAAAACATTTACAGCCAGATGACGAAAAGAATAGGTAGTTAACCGAAAAATATCATTAGTCGAATTGATTCGAAGTTTTCACTGAAAATCTATTAACAATCACAGACAGATATAATGAAGTAACAAGGAAAAGCGATATAATTTTTCTGTGACAGTTTGGAGTAGTAATTACGTTGATCACTTAGGACGATTATTGCGTTTTGTCAACAGATTATCTACAATCTGGAAAACAACTCAAATCCAGAAAAATTGTCATTCGTGAGCAGAATCCAGAACAGTAAGTAGTGAATAGAATGACCTGCACTAACATAGTCTTCACAATCAACAGGGAGATAAACAGTAAATGAACTTATGTTGCTCTGAATAACCGGATAAATTACATAAAATAGTGAAGATTAAAATGAGTAGAATGAGATTTAATTTGCAAATGTTAAATGCAACACAAAACTAGTGGAATTTTAGATTAATCTCTTTGGATATTATTATTAGGAGAAAAAGCATAAAAAGCTCACCTTTCAATACTAAATTTAAGATTATACGTTCCTCCACTCTGAATAATTGGATCATAGCACATTTCTACATTATCAGGATCTAAACCTGACAGAATATTTGAGTTTCTTAGTGCGGTTTGACAACCACTAGAAAGCTTTTCATGTTTAACTTTCTACAGATGAAGTATCAAAAAATAAATTAAGCTACAGCTTAATGATTTCAAACATACGATAAATACAAATTTAGTGGATAACGTTTATACCTTACTCAAAGATTAGTTTAATGACCAATCACATAGTCGACTTTATCCAAATAATTGAGTTTCTTGATCGACAGTATCAAACAGCTGACTTAATTTGTAGCATCTCAAGGATTTCAGTCAAGATCTATAAATTGGTAATCAGTGAGTTCATGAAATAAAATCATGCGTACATATAACTAACCTAATACTTTGTTTAAATCATAATCCAATTATCAATGAACATCATTTCTTGATACAAGAGACGTGTGATACATGTACCAGCTTCCATAAATCCTCATCCAAACGAAGTATTTGCCGACTCTGGGACTGATTGGAAGAAGCGGAGAGGTGGTCAGTGCATGACATGGTGTCGTGGTATGAAAGAAAACTGCAAAGGACTAGCCTCTGTCGGTCCTTCACGACTCCCTGGTTGGGGTCCGAGAGATGGTGCTACACAGTGGCTAGAGACGTAATCAGATATGGCTCATAATAGAAGCCAGTGGCGATCCTGCTGTAACCTTCTTTTACTTTCTTCATAAAAAGTGGTTGTGTCTCCCTTAACTGAAAGATTTCTTCTGATTGTACCTTTCCGTTCCCTGATTACTAGCACATTACCTTACACCAATCTCTTAGTTATTGTTCTCTTTTTTTTGTGCTCCTCAGCTTTTTTTTTCTTTCTTTGTATTCCTCTTCGAATATTCATTGTTCTGTGTGGCGCATATATATTGGCGCTCTCTTGTACCAATATTCATGTGTCCAAATATATATATATATATATATATATATATATATATATATATATATATATATATATATATATATATATAATATAAACGAAGTAATTATCCTAAAATTCTACCATCCAATGATAAGCATAACGACAACAGATAAATTATGGTATGACTTTTTTAAACTTAACACATAGAGGGTATGCGTATTAAGCACACTTTGATTTATAGAATACTGAGTCTTCAAAAGAAATCGAATGGCAGTGAGCGGAAAGAGTTCGTTTTTCCAATCGTAACAGTCACCGACGCACTCTCTACTTAACTTGAGCATTCCAAGCCTGGTGATTCTGGCATACACGATTAATGTTTCGAAGACGTGACCGAACCCCAGCAACCCATCAAAGCGAAATGCCTAAGGGGGGTTCTAAGTCAGAGAACTTCATTGACTATTGGATTTATTTTGAAGGTTAATGACAATTGATCTTTCGGCTTCATGAGTCCATTAGTAATAAAAATAGAACCTGGGACAAGTATCGGCCAGGTTTCCAGACTATATAAACACAAGAGGATGAAGTCAGTAAGTACACCAAATGAGCTGAAATAATAGTTTTCTATTACTGACATGGTTCGAAATGGAAAGGTAAATTATGAAATGCCATATTATCTAATTACTTGAACACAAATATAAGTAAAAGAGGCACCGAATACATATGCGCCAAACAGGTCACTTGATTTGTATGTAGGTTGTGATACCACTTGGATGCCCAAACCGAAGCAGGTGGTTTTCTTAGAAGGCCACACCCCGAGCCTTTGACCTAGAGGTCTAATTCACAAGACAGTGAAGCAACGTTTGGGGATGCAGTCCTATGGTAACCGATGACTAACAATAGGCCTATACGCCATTTGTTCTTTAGGTTCCTGGGGCCCATGTGGCCCATTGGTAGAGCCTTTGGGATACAACCATAGCAATTTGTAAAGCTACAACAGGATCATTACTATTTAAATACTCTATTTCATTGGAGTTTTCAGTAAGCAGAACTGCAGTACTTGTTAACACTCAGTCACAGTCACCAAATACTTCAATCTCCGAATTACACAAAGCGCTAGTTCAAAGAGCATACCTACGATAGTCCCAGGTAAAAATGGGGAGTGAGGCACCATGATGAAAACTATCCAATGTTACTAGATTCAACCATAGATCATCAAAACCTTAACGACCGTTAGTGATCAACAAGAGACCTCGGTACGTCGACATAATTTTTGGCACGCTGATTTTACAGACTTGGTTTCCAAGTAGTTGTTAAATAACAATATTCAATACTACGATGTCACGAAACACTAGAATAGTTCATATTTATCCCTCACTTCTGATGGAAAATAGTCAAATCCTGTTAATTTGCTAGCTTAGATTTTAATAGGGTTTATCTCAATATATATTTGGCATCAGGCAGCAATTAACTACCCTGAAGGTGATAACAAGCTATCAACGGAACAGATAAATTAGCTACGTAGTGCAAACAAGAGAACATTAACGATCTTTTTCCTTTTAGATATGGACATATAGTGAGAGCATGGCTATTGCTGTGAGAACTTTCTATCGCTTTGGCAGCACATATTGAGTTTAAATCGTTCATGAATGATTACTAAACAATACTAATCACATGATGTTCTATATCAAATAATCTACGGATAACTATTTTATGCACAACAAAAAACTATTGCTTACTCTGTCTGAGTCAATGACGTCCATAATTTGCTCTTTTAAGTGTTTAGTGAAAAGATTGCATGTAATATCACAAGCTTTCTTCAACAGTATTAATTCTGTTTCATCCTTGGTAGCTAGGATTTCACTGATGGAGTTAGAGATGTCAACAAGTTGAAATTTTTCCTCTTGCAAGGATGACATGAAGGATTCAGTGAGCTCTGATATGAATTTATCTTTGGCCAAGTGACCCACTTTATTATTCTTTGCACCGGACTTGATACAATCAACTAGCTTCTTTAGGCCTGCCTTATCTTTGTCAGCCTGCACGAAATATAGTTCTACATCTAACTTACTGGATTTCTTGGGATTAGAACGACTGTGCGGTTGCCAAAATGACGGTTTTCTAAGGGATGTAAGAAATCCAACTTTTTTTTCCCACACAACACAATCATCGACTGTTTATTGAATACGATTACAGTGTCTTGCAACTCATATCCAAAAAGCCACATCTGTATATATATATATATATATGAAGAGTGAAAATACAAAATTTACGTGTAGTGATAAGGTTTTTCCGTATACACTATCCACCTTCCCAGCTGGTACAATTATAGACTCTACATCATGAAGTTGACTATTGAAATCCTTGAGATATGAAATAATCAGTAAAGAATCAATTATGTCTCTACCTCCCAATCTGCATATAATTTAGCTAACCTCTTCTCGAAGGAACCAATGTCAAGGTTCAGAGCGCACATTGTAGCGCAATTCAGAAATCAAACGTGAGCGCGAGCTAAACGAGATTTACAATTTTCAATCCCTGGTTGAAAAAATTATTATATAAGAACTGATATTTTCTAAGTTTAGATATCCAGGCATATTTTATTATAAGTCCTGCAATGTTCTATGTTGTTTATTTACTTTTTCAAGGCAGACAATAATACTATGGATTTATAAGCAAAGATGAATAATAGATAGCAATGGAACCATGGGCACACGTCTCGTCCTATTTGGGACTTATCAGCTGGATGTACCTGCACCTCAGAGTTGATTTGCACCCTAGGACTCGAACTCAGTGCCGTTCACTTCAAACGCCGTCGCGTTATCTCATTAGCCACCGAGTCCTGATAGCCACTTGCTTATGCAATAGGGTGAAGTTTAAATTCACTTAATATTATTAACTATCCATCTTTGCTTATAATGCCTGTGAATTAAGGCGATATCGAGGCGATACGCGCAGTATGCACATATGTCAATAGAGACTGATCAGTTGCAATCCTAAATATCAATGCGAAGATTCACGTAAACAATACCAAGTGAATTTTATACTCTGGAGTGTTTACACTCCAAAGCTACGAAGCCGGTTAGAGGACTCAACTTTAAACTAAGTGATTAGCCCAATAGATCACTGAAACTTTTAGTCTTTAAGAATCTAGTTAACTTTGAAGATACTTTTTAGTGACTGACAACACTAAACACTTCTAGTCATCCCACTTGAGTGCGCATCCACGACCTCACACGCTGGACTGAAGGATGAGAACATCTACCTCGCGCACGGATGCTTGGCCTCTAGAATATTAAGCTGGTATCCAATGATGTTTAATATTATTATTAGAGTCCAGCGTGAGGAATCGCAGATGCACGCTGCCTTAGAAATCTCATACCAGAACGAGACAACTGTCTAGTGTTCCAGGTTGTCGATGGTGGTCTAAAATTGATCGGTTCGTGAATTCAGTGAAATTCAACAATCTATACAGCCGTGTGCTGACAAATTCTCGGAGTTACTCCCGGAAGTTAAAGGTACAACTTGGATAAGCAAAGTAGAGACACACTTCCTACATCACATGTGCTGTCGAGTTTTGAAATCAGCTAAGGGCTGAAGTGGTCTAATCAACTTCCCGACTGTCATCCAGGTGGATACTCAATGTTCATTAATGTGAGACTCGAAACTGTATATCGCATTCAGTATTCTGTCGTCAAATAAAGTCCGTTCTTGTCAGATAAGGATCATGTCGCACAAAAACTTCTGTCCTGTACATGATGATTTGAACCATTTCTGTTCGTGAAGCTGATATACACCTAATTCAAGGGAATAATGAATTTGGTAGTTTGTTCATAACTCTTAAGTATGAGCAAGAAAACAATTAATAAGAATGGTAATGATAGGTTTCTCACTCCACACCCTATCTACATTCCCCAGGATCGCAACTGTAATTATTCTCAGAAAGAAAACTCTCCACACACTATAGTACCAACCCATCGCATAAAAACGGCCCCCATGTATTAAAACAGTGGCAACCGCTTCCAGTTAGGCACAGCAGACCCCTCTCACGCTAACGTAAATAGCCATAACAGAGGCTACGAGTCTAACCATCAAGACTATTTTGCAAATAACCATACACTTCACAGTAGGTCTGAACAAGATGTTTTGGGAATAAGACCGCTAAGGACACCTCGTTTGAAGCATGTAACCCGAGTTATTTCAAACCACATGCAAACCCTAGGTTTATTTCCTCCGTACAAAGAGTACTCCCACAATTTCCTCCTGCGTAAACTGCCCAACAAACTTCCCTAGCTCACTTGATACATCTCCAACTAAGTCTAGCTATCAAAATACCGAGCTCATGAAGAACATTCAATCCGTTACATCAACCTCATCTCACACCCGCGAGGGTTACGACGACTTTATCCGAGATACCCTCACCCATTTTAACTTAGTAGGCCACTTGCTTAATATAGGCCTTATCAACGCTCGATCGATCTGCACACAGAAAGGCGGATCTAGCCCTGTTTGTATCCATATATCAACCATCACTTATAATGATATCTGAAAAATAGACAAACAGTAATATTTCAGACCTAAGTATATCTCTTGATAACTATTTCCTATATAGAAGTGATAGATTGAATGGACGAGGCGGAGGATGCCTTATTTACGATCACTCTAGCCTAAACTCACTACTATGTGATATGCCTGAACTAAACAAACTGAAGGTGGCACAGGTATTCAGTGTTTGGCAACGCTTTTACAAGCAACACCTAATATAATTTGCACCCACTGAGAGAAATCAAAAGACAGAGTCGAGGAGATCGGAAGAGTGTATTTGGCGATTACCAATATATCAGAATTCTCTGATCTAATCTGGCTAGCGATTGCGGTAGATGTTGAGCACAGCGTTACCACATGTGATCTGGTACGGATGCATGACCGAGCGCCGTCAGCTAGGTGAGTCCACTGAAACCAATGATCAGCATCCAATGTCGAAAACTTTCAGAGCTATTTATTTTGAGGATTTATTTACCTCTCCAACCCAACCCCCTAGTGGAGCAGTGACGACCCTAGGACGTGGCCAGCCAGAAGTTTAAACCCAACGAGTCCGTCGTTGGTAAACACTCTTCTGATAGCCTACTAGGTTCGGCAGTGTCTGATCGTCTTTCCTTACCATATGGGACCGAGGTACAACATAGTAAAAAAAGAAATAGTACAATGAAAATTTCGGCTCCTCATAAACTGTATCGTTCTTTTCCAGCCGTCCTGGAAAAGAAAAAAGAAAGTGTAAGTGCATGTCGAAATACACTCGTATGTGTGTAAAAACACAATGTCGGCAAAAAATAATGGAAAATAAACTCAAGCACACGTAATAGCGTTAAAAAATTTTTATGTTTTCTGTTTGTTTCTTTTAAATAAAAATATAAATATATAAGCACATTAAAATCGTTTTTTTAATATTATATATCGTAAAAAGAAAGATCGAGATAATACAGAATGTCGAGTAGTGCCTTACGTGCAGTAGTCGTTTAAATGTTCTGGAAATCTTACTCTTCTTCCAAAACGCGTCGTTTTAGTTTATTTTCAGATGCATTCGGAGTATCATCGATAGTGTTGGTTGTCTGTTGAGGAATTATGAGTGTAGGAGTCGTGTTGTGCGATTGTACCGAAGGAAAGTCGACGTGAATAGGATTTCCTTCTAGATACGCTGCTTTTAAGAGATCGATGCTGATGCCATCGTTTGTTCCGTTCTTATCGACTATATAGTACTTAGATTCACGTTGAAGAACATTGAAAGGTCCTTCGTATGCTGATTCGAATGGTCGTCGATGTGAGTCTCGACGAACGAAAACGTGTGTACTATATCGTAAGTCAGGTTGAACGAAAACATCAGTTGATTGTGGTCGAGTGGAAGCAGGTTTAACTGAACGCATTGCGTTTGTAAGCCTGTTCGTGTAGGAGGTTAGATCCATGCTCATTGAAGAGGATGAAGGATCCACGAATTCTCCTGGAAGTCGAAGTGTTGTTCCATAAACGAGTTGAGCCGCAGTGTATCCAATGTCAGCTTTCACTGCATTGCGGATACCTAGTAAGACGAGTGGAAGTGCGTCGGTCCATTGTGGAACGCTCGCAGCTGATAGTGAAGCTTTTAGTTGTCGGTGAAAACGTTCTACCAACCCGTTTGCTTGTGGATGGTAGGCGGTCGTTCGGAAGCGAGTGATTCCTAAGAGCGTGGTCAGACGACGGAAAAGTCCGGAGTCAAACTGACATCCGCGATCTGTAGTGATAGTTGAAGGCAACCGAAGTTTGCTACCCATCGTTCGACGAAGGTGCGGGCCACTGTTTCAGCAGTGATGTCCTTAATAGGTACTGCTTCTGGCCATCGAGTGAAGCAGTCTACGCAGGTTAAGAGGCAACAGTATCCATTTGAATCTGGTAAAGGTCCTACCAAATCCAGATGAACATGGTCGAAACGAGCATCGAGAGTTTTAAATGAGCCTAAGGAACATTTATTGTGTCTGATAACCTTAGATTTTTGGCAGCTTACACAGGAGCGTGCCCACTCCCTCACGTCTTTATTCATGCCAGGCCAGCAAAACCGTTCTGCTACAAGCTTGATGGTTGCACGAACACCTGGGTGAGAAAGTTTGTGCAACGTATTGAAGACGTTGCGTCGATAATGTTTCAGCACGATTGGGCGATCACTACCTGTAGATGTGTCACAAAGTAAGGTTTCCTTACCTGTTCCCATCTGTTTGATGAGTAGTTTAAGGGTTGTGGACGATAACTCGTGCTGAAGATCAGTGTCTTCTTTTTGAAGCTCGGCGAGTTTACGAAGGTCGATTCCTTGGAAACTGTTCAAGGAAGTTATGCGAGATAAGGCGCCTGCAACTGCATTGTTTGCTCCAGAAATATGTTGAATGTCTGAAGTAAACTGCGAAATGCAGTCCAGTTGTTGAGACTCACGGGGAGAGTACTTGTCTGAAGTAGAGCTTAGAGAGAAGGTGAGCGGTTTATGGTCAGTGATAAGAGTGAATTCACGACCTTCGATGTAGTGTTGAAAATGTCGTACAGCACAATACATAGCTAGGAGTTCCCTACCGAATGTGCTGTACCTCGATTCGATGTCTAGCAACCTTCTAGAGAAAAATGCCAATGGTTGCCAGGAGTGGTTAATCCATTGTTGTAAGACTCCTCCGATTGCTGAGTCGGATGCGTCTACTGCGATACTAATGGGTGCTCAGGTGTCCTGATGTGCAAGCATTGTTGCTTTAGCGATGAGTTCTCTAATTGTGGAGAATGCTTTTCGTGCGGTGTCGTCCAAATTAATGGGTTTCGCATTTCCATGAAGTTGGTCGGTAAGAGGTTTCATGAGCAAAGCACATTTCTGTATGAATCGTCTATAGAAACTTACAAAGTCGTTAAACGTTGGTAGTTGCTTAATAGTCACCAGTTGGACGCCAATCGTTGCTGTCCTTTTTAGGGACCATGTGCAACGGAGATGCACAAGGGCTGTTTGACGGTC